AGTCCGCTCAAAATACTTCAAAGCACAAATTCTAAGTCCTAAACCCCTCAAGACTAAAACTTAAACCGATCACACTCCGGTCAAGACTAAACTTAAACCGATCACACTCCGGTCAAGACTAAACTTAAACCACTCACTAATCCGGTCAAGGGTTGTACGGTTAAGACTTAGATAAAATCAGAATCTTACCTGTTTAGACGAATCCGAACACAAATCAAGATTGATCGGTTTACCTCTCCGCTCGTTCTCCGCTCAAGTGATATGCGGTGAAGATGAATACCGCTTGAATGATGATCGGTATACTTGAACACCGCTCAATAATCCGTTGATGTCTTGTACGGTTTACCCTTTGTCTAGAAATCAAGTGAATCGATGAACACTTTCAAGCAATGTTCAATGTTGAAGAGTCCGAACGATTAAGATAAGAGTCTGTAAGCGGACTCTTAGTCCGGTCAAGAATATAATGGGCTAAAAAAAAATTGATGGGCCTTTGATGTTTTGGACGGTTTAACAAAAATAAAAACAAATTCAAAATGAAAATCAGATTAAAAACTATTAAAAACACAAAAACATAATTTTTTTTAACAAAAATGGATCAAAAACACTGATTACGAAAAAAATATCAAGAACACAAAAAAAATAAAACTCAAAAACCAATTAAATCTTGATATGAAATGATCAAATCAAAAAAGTTTGTGAATAACAAAGATTCACAATACAATTTCGAGCATTTTGATCCTGTTTTTAACGCAAAAACACAAGATTTTAATGAAAAAACGGATCAAAATCAAAGAAAAATTCAAGAACACGAAGAACACAAAAAAAAAAAATTCAGAAAGAAAGTTAAAAAAAAACTTATCTGATTTCTTTTTGACTCTGATTTCTTGCATTCCAACTTTGATACCAATTGTGTGTCCACAATAGCTGATCAATTCTTCATTTCTTCGTCACAACAATGGCAGATTCATATATTGCATTAAGATCATCAAGAACATAGATATGAACTTTAAGAACAATGAGAGAGAAAGTCAAACTTGTAAATCTCAGTCAACTCTCTATTATGAATGTAATCTTACAATTAAGCTCCTCTAACTCTAATTACAAAGATTAACCTATTTATATGGTCAAACATACAAAGACAAAGTCAAAGTCAAACCTATAAGAAAAGTCAAACACGCTGACTTTTTGCAATTGTAGACTATACTAAACCTTTCAAGACGAATACAATTAATATTGATTTCTCAGTCCTAACAATATATATATATATATATATATATATATTAGAACGGTACTCGCGCAATGCATAGATACATCTTAATTTTAATATTTTATTTTATTTTTTATCTTAGTCGATCTTATAGTATGGTCTTATGTGATTTTGAAAAAGCGATAATGTTTTTATTTTTGAATAAAATATAAATTTGAGGATATCAGAAAATTTTGAAAAAAATATATCGATATTAGTATAAAATTAACTATTTAAAATTCCTATTTGTTGTGCAATTTTTTAATTCAATTTTTTTTATAATTTAATTTAGGTTCAATAACAAAGTAATTTTATATTTGGTTTAATAATATAATTTTTTCTACAAATAATGATTAATTATTTTGTCAGAACTCGATAATTATCCTAATTATATTTTAGATTTTTTATATTTCAAAATGAGATGTTTATTCTCTATTTGATTATATTTATCCGCAATTAGTTATACGAATTCAAACATTGAAGCTTTAATAAGTTGTACTTATGCATAATTACTTGTAATCTTGAATTTTAAGTAATATGCATTAATATACAATATTTTATGCTAAAAAATGGGTTTTAAGAGTTTTTGTCAAATGTTTTATAATATAGTATATATATATATATATATATAAGAAGGATACTCACGTAATTCAACGAGATACATCTTTATTTTAATGTTTCGTTTTATTTTTTTTGTATCTGTTGACATAATACGGTTTATTTGGTTTTGAAAAAGATAATATTTTAACTTTGAATTGTTAGGACTAAAAAATCAGTATTAATTGTATTCGTCTTGAAAGTTAAATATAGTCTATAATTGTAAAAGTCAGCGTGTTTGACTTTTCTTATAGGAGTTTGACTTTGACTATGTTTAGTAGGTTTTTGACCATATAAATATGGTTAGTCTTTGTAATTGAAGGTAGGAAAGCTCATTTGTAAAATCTGATTACGTAAAGTAAGGTTTGACCAATAAATCTTGTGTTGACCTTTTCTCTCAATAT